TTGTAGAGGGTGGTTTGAAAATAAGGTAAATTTGGACAATGTAATCATCTTTGATGAATGTAGATTCAGTTTGGATGGGCCAGATAACTTCCAAACCTGGCAGTCTAATCCAGAAAGAGAAAACTTAAGATGTCAACATTCAATGGGTAGTGGAGGAGTCACAATCTGGGGGTGTATTGGACCAGATGGGTTTGTGCAAATTTCTAGAATTGAAATAAAAAGGCACAAAGGCATGGTACCTGGCTCTTTTGAAAAAAGAGGTCATGCCATTCCTAAAAAAACTATATAGGAAGGGTTTCATTTTCCAACAGGACAATGCCCTTGCCACAAGGCCAAAATTATGCTAAAATATTTTAAGACTGGAAAGTGCACAGTCTTACCATGGCCAGCCTACTCGCCAGATCACTCTCCCATAGAGAATGTATGGCATATGCTGAAGATTATTGCATATGATGGGCCACAGTTTAGCAAAAAGGAAACTTTGTAGAAGTGTATCCATGAAAAAGTTGAAATACTGAACAAGAGATGGAAAAAGTACTTAATCGCCTTTCCCAACTCATTGCTGAAGAGAGTATTAAAGTAATGTTATATTTATTATAAGCTACGAATGAGTACTATTTCTTCATCATATGTGGAGATTGTAGAGACACCGGCAATATGGTATCGTCCCTATCTGTCTTTCTAGTGAGATAATGAACCAGTGCTGGCTGCCATCCGTTACCACTCTAATACTAATTTAAAAAAATGAATATCAATTAGGGATTGTCCTATTTCAAAGAAAATAGATTAATTGATAAGAATTCTGATAGAGAATGAGTTAAAACCGACGTGAATATAAATTTATTTCCCTCTACAAGTCACGAATGTTTTAATAAAGGAAATACGTTAGATTATAATTAAACATTATAAAATTGACTATATGGAAAACGACACTTTGGAGGAATATTATCATTTTGTCATTAGAATATGATGGACACGACTATTGACAAACAAAACGTTTTTACGTTGTCAATGTTCATTATTTCTCTAATAAACAAACTAAATATTATCTTTAATTAGCAATAATTGTAAAAAGAAATTTTCTACTTTCGATTTAATAAGCCTATCATCTATGGATTGTGTGCGAAAATAATTGCGCAATATTTGTAATTTCTTATAATATAAATATTCAAGATGTCGCCTTTTAAACTGGTATGCAATTGGGTATTCCAATCTAATAGCGTGTTATTGAAGTGTTTTACTAATAATAGAAATGTATATTTCCAAGTTATCAGTGCTCTGTTTGGAAAATATCTGTGATAATATGGATGTATGCTACGAAATAATGAAATTGAAAAGATGGTGTCTACCCCATCAAATAGGAAATTCAATTTTAAATCATTATTGTCTTATTTCCAATACGAGATATAAACAAGATGATTTTCGGCTATTCTCCTCCGAAATTATAGAGTTAACTCGTATAGATTCAATGCAATTTTCATCAAATTACAAATATGAATTCTTAAGAAATCATCAAATTGAAAAATTACATTTTAACGGAAATATGAATTTAATAGATTTCCTTCAAATTATTAATGAAAAGGAATTAAAGGAGTTTTCTATTAATAAAACAAATATGGCTGATGATGAATATGAATATTTAATAGAATTCCTTGAAAATTGCCATAATTTGGAAATATTTCATATTAAGAGAAACAATATCAGATATTATCAATTGAGTTGCCTTACGAATAGTCTGCAATTGCACTCGAAGATGAAATCTCTTCATTTCGACGTTACTGTTGAAAAAGTTCATATGGAAATTACGAGGAAATCTCTCAACAGTGATAAGATATTGGGAGTCAATTCTTTAATTATTGAACTACCAGTTTTCGACGATATATCGTATTTTTTTGACTTTTATCTAGTTTTTAAATCTTTACAAAAGTCATGTGACCATTTGGAGAATATTGACTTTTCATTCGGCGAACTAGACGAACAGGATTCAAGGAATATTGGACAATTTTTTCAATTATGCAATAATTTAAAAACGGTTAAATTATATTTATCAACAGTTCAAAAAGAGTCGAAATGTTATATTCTAGAAGGTCTTGAAAGTTCATGTCAACGTTTAGAGACAATATTAATACGTGGAAATCTGTTCAATCAAAAGAATTTATCAAATTTCTTTAAAAAATGCTCAAATTTACAAAAAGTTACCATAGTTAATCCAAAATTGTTTACGGAATACGATATTAAAGAGATATTAACCGGTTTAAAATCGTCTAATCTATCCTTAAAACAATTAACCTTAACTTACGATATTGATAAATTATCGGATCAAATCTTTCATGATTTCTTCCTCATTTCTCCCCAATTGGAATATATTGAAATGAGAAAAACTCGGGGAGATCGTTCTACGTTCATCTATAATCTTATTAAACCGGAACTTATTAAAAATATTCATCTTGTTAATAGGCCTATTGGATATTTTCAATCAAAGGTAGCCGATTTATTAACTACTTGTACAAATGTGGAATTGGTGGATTTATCATTTAATAGGAATCCTTTCGATGAGAGTAATAATTATCTTTTTTCACTTTTCAAGAATTCTTCATCAACATTGAAAATAATCAATTTAAATTCATGTTGTTTGAACGATATTACAGCCATTCAACTTGGTTATTCGTTAAGCTATTGTAATAGAATACAAGTCTTTAACTTTGATAATAATCCAAATTTACCGAATGGATTAAACGAGATATTTATTGGTTTAAAATCATCATCTTCTTGTCTGAAAGAGTTGAAATTTTCAAGATGCGCCCTAACCGGAGAACATACTGAAAATTTAGAAAATTTACTCTTATCCTGTTGTAAAATCTATCAACTTTGCGTTAGTATGAATAAAGATATGGGCGATCATTTTAAAAATATCTGCAATGGATTAAGATCGTCTCGTCTAACTATTGAAAAATTCTTTATTGCCGATTGTAATTTCACATTATCTCAACTTGCTTATTGTAAAAATTTCTTTAAAAACTATGCAAAACTTACTATTATTGTTGTTTGAATGTTTTATTATCAATCTTTTGTTTGTTTGTTTGTTTGTTTGTTTGTTAAATTTCTTAGTTATTCATTATCGCTCAGTTGTAAAATTTATTTAAGTATACTTTTTGTTCTGTTTATATAAAATATGCTCAGGCGTTAAATTTGAATAGTTAACAATTATTTAATATACAGTATATACGACAACCATTTTCTTTGTTTTCTTTTTTTAGTGCGTAACCATAACAACCGATTTATAAATAAGAAGATTCTATCGGGAAAGCTTTTTTAAGACTATTTTTTAGATATTTTACATTATATTTATAGGCATTAATCATATTTATTTGCCTTCAAAATAGCTTTCAAATCTAGAGATATACAGTATTTCATACCAATTAGTCAATATATTGGCCTACGAAGGCCTATTGGTGTGTAGACTACACAAAAGCAGCCAACGCTACTCTATATTTTCGAACGTATTCCCTTCCCTGGTAACCCTGTCAAGATGCTAACAAATTTCTATATTATATTTGGAATATTATTAATTTCAAGTCAACTTATCAATACAATGGTTGATGTAGAAAGTGTCATTGTCGCTCTAGACGAATTCGAAGAGGCCGATAAAGGGGATAAAAAATCTGGAAAATTAATATCAGAAGATATAAAAGACAGAGGTAAGAGAAAAAAGATTACACTATTGATTTTTAATAATACTTCTCTTTACAGATATGCTAAAATGACGAAATGTATTATGAATATTCAAGAATTGTGTATTGAAATTACTGTTAGTGAATGATGACTATTTTTTAAAAGAGAGAGAGAGAGATAGTGATTAGTTGAGATTAAGAACTCTAAATCTACTAAATTACCAGATCAGATAACTTTCAAGTACATAGGTAGAATATTGGCAATCGCTACAAAAATACATTATATATTGTCCGTTTGACCGAAAATACTACCATCTATCTCGAATTTCAATAAACCTTCTTTACTATTTGTTATCATTGAATATCTTAGCCAATGATTATCGCCTAGAATTTTCATCTACTATATCATTAGAATAATGAATATTTATATTTCTTGTTGCGTTCAAATCGGCTACACAATCGTTTAGCTGCTTTGTAACAGTACTTTGAATACATTCAGATAATTCAAGAAAAAGTATTGCCGAATTGTTCACCAGTCGTCGAAAATTGGAAAGAATAGATTTATCTAATAATCCTTCAATGGGAGAAGGATTATCTACAATTTGTAAAGATTACAATAAATACAACAGCAATCACGTTAGAGGACAGTGAAAATAGAAAAGTTAATTTTTTACATATAAAAGTGGACGACAGGAATATGTGGACACCATAAATTTTGATAGGCCAACTTTTATAATTAATGGTTAAAATTGTTTTTTTGATGCAAATTAGTATTTTTTCTCTAAATTTATATAGAAAAAGACTTAAATTGATATAAACATTTTGTGAACATTATTAGCAAAAATTCTTAGTAATTTTCATAAGTTTTTTCTTTATTTGGCCGCGCGACATGTTTATTGGAACATTGAGTTGACATCCGGTTTAGCATTCAAATAGATGTCTCAAAAAAAATTTTTTTCAACTTATTTCCTGTTTTAGGTTAAGTTAATTAGTTATTGAATATTAAAAATTACTGTATATAATTTATATTGTATTTTTTTTAATTATGGAGCGGAGTAAAGATATTAGGGATCTTGTAATAAAAAAATATAGACAAATAGGGAAATTGAGGGCAACAGCAAGAATTTTAGTAATGGCACCATCATCAGTTAGTAACATCTTGAAATATAGGCAACCAGAACAAGACAATAGGGGCAGTCCAAAGAAGATTTCCGACAGAGAAATAACCAGGATGAAAAGGATTGTGAAGAAACTGAAAGATAACAAGCAAAGAGTGATAGCAGCAAAGGTATTGAAGGAATTAGAAGGAGATTGAAGCATCAGAACAATTCAGAGGGGGCTGAAAACACAAAACTTCAAATACAAAAGAGTCAGACAAAGAAATGATCTCACCTCCAAAGGTTGTAAACACAGAAAAGAATATTGTCTCAATATTATTAGCAAATATCTAGACTGATCTACAATAAATACATTAGGTTTTTTATCAATTCCATCATTTTTCATTGTTAGTATGTTGCATATTTCTTGTAGAGTTTTGTATATTTCACCGCCAATTACTATTAATATTGAAATTAAATAGTAATCAGGAATTTTATTGATCTCTTCCGCTTGTATAATTTGTTTCTGCAATATCGCTTTAGGGAGAAATGATGAGCTGTCCATTTTTTTAAGTGATTTAAACTTAATATGATTAGGGCAAATCCCCTTTGAGCTATGTTTAAGACATGACGGTTCTGTACTATATAATTTAATGTTCTTTTCTTGTATCGCCTCTTTACAGGGTCCTAATAATTTTGAACATCCATCAATTAATATCAATGGTGAGAATGCTTCTACAACTGCATTAAATTTCTTTTCAAAGATTCTCTTAAACTGATTATCAAAGTTATCGTGCTCGTAATTATTGTTAAATGTTATAAATAAATGTTTGTCTTTCAGTATATCTTTCATTTTTTTCAAAGTATTTTTTACAGTTGCGTTCTCTTGTTCATCAATAAAGTAGGATGAATAATTTTCTTCATAAATCTCTTGAAGGCAGTCTTTTAAACCATTTTCCTCTTGTTTGAATGTTTTCAAATATTTCTTGCACTCTTCATTCATCCTCTCATCTTCTACTTCAGTTAGAGAAATAATATATTTTTTAGACTTTAACCTTTGAATAACCTCATCATTACTATTGCCTTCAAAATTAATTAAGACATCAATAACCTTTTCATGTTGTGTCTGAACATATTTAATGAATGCTTCTTTAGTTTCCATTTCATCCTCACCTTCTCCAAGAAAATAGAAATATTGATGATTTAGGTCCAAACCGGCACCCTTTAATGCGTCTTGACTTACACTATCTTGATTTGTGATTAAATCATGTTTACCCGCTACAAATCCACACCATATAGATTTGTTGTCATTTGTATCATCAATCATACTTGTCAATAATCTATTCGATGTTCCATCAGTTAAAAATAATGATGTAGTTTTTGTTAGATGCGACTTTAATTGTTGAATATTATCATCAGATAGAGTTGAATTTGGTAGTTGTATTATAAAGTTTGGTTTCATGTTGAAATTAGGAAAGTTTTTAACCTTACTATCTATTTTAATAACAGAAGAATATAACTTTCTTTTAAATATTTTATTTTTATTGTTCAACCATATTACATCTTGTCTCTTTTCTAAACAGTTTTGTATTTTTAATAAATTATCATCATTTTCATCAAAAATCAAATGAATTACATCATTTTCCATCTCTCTCTTCAAATCATCAACAATCGATAAATAATTAACATTTCCCTCATCGTTTTCTTTTGGATTATATATAACTATTGGAACAGGACAACCTCCATTTTCCTTATATTTTTTAATACTTTTTAATAGTAATTTCAATGCAGGATATTCAAGACTATCCGATGTTATTAATACTTTCTTTTCTTTAAGAATATCTATAAAATTCTCTATAAATTTGTTTTCAATCTCTTCTTTTTGCTCATCAAATGTGTCATTTGAAGGATGACAGACAAATGTTTGATCAAATTTATCAATAGAAAATTTTTCTTTTAGTTTTGATAAAATTGTTGTAGTTTTTTTTCTTGAAGAAGAAGAATCTGCGGTCTTATTTCTTGATTCAATCTCTTTATATGTTTCAATACAAATTTCTCCATTAAAAATAATCATCTCCTTCTGAAAAGAGCAGTCAACTCAAGGTATTTTGTTTAATAATACAATCTGGTCAAAGAAATGAAATATTTAGTTGTTTAAATTTTAATAGATTATATGAAAAATAGGGTATTAAACTTTTCAAATAAATATTTTATTTACCTGCAAAGATGATTCTGGAGGAGGAGTTGCTGTTTGAGAACCTGATCGCGATCGGTAGGTGTTGTTGTGGTGGTCGGACATATATATATATATATATATATATATACATAAGTATCAAGTCTCATGTGTCATGCTTCGAGACGTAATCTCGTAGTTACGTAATCACGTGTATCCACACGTGATAATTATTAGCTTTGGTCATTAGAATACAGCAACCGTTTGATACAGTTACCGACAGTAAATATACATAGTTCGTAATTGTAGAAGAACCGATCTTGAACAGTATCAAATGTAAGCAAGGATATTCTAAGCGAATATACGAGAATCCAATTAAGAAATTGTTCTGCAGTTCCTTTTTTTTCTTTTTTTTTTGGAACGTTCAAAAGAAAAGAATCGAACATTCTTTTTTTTTTCTCAATTGGACAATTCAACCTCCTCTCTTGGAATAAGTCTAAGTTATATTAAGTGAGCATAAGAAATTAAGATGATGAAACCTCAAAGAAGGCAAACTATGAAAAGGAAGAGTGGAGAAATACCAGAGAAGGAAGTTCTCTGTTCTGTTAGAATGTCATTAGGACATATTGGAAATAGTTTGGAGAGAGGAAGGGTGACGCAAGATATACTCAAGAGACTCAATAATGCCTTGGATAAAATAGATGAACTTCCGAGAACTAAAGAAGTTCTTACAGTCTAAGAGAAGGTATTAGACCTTCAAAGAAGAGCCAAATTGATACCTCTACAAAATAAGAGGAAGGCCAGTGGGACTAAGAAATCTCCTAACAGCCCTGACAAAACAGTGGAGATGGCACCATGGGAAGAATGTTGTACAAGATCACAGTATAAAAGCACCCCAACAGTAAGAGAACCAATAGGTACCCAATATCCCAATAGTGGACCAATGGATTCCTTCGATATCCAATTGAAAGAAGGCATTAAAAATGGCACCGCCACCTTGGAAATGGAGGAATCAAGTCTTGAGGAACTAAGTGAAGAGGCGTCTGAAAGGGAATCACAAGAGGCAACATACAACAACTACTCTGATACTCAATGCACCCAAAATTCAACACTAACCGAAGCACAGCTGAGAGAAGTAGAGTACGCTACCCATTGTCAGACCAAAAGGCAGCTGGAAGTTGTCAAGAAGGAACTACAGGTAGTTTTCAACAAAAAGCTAGACGACGTGAAAGCCCTGATGAAATGTGATCAGAACTGCCAGATGGCGAAGGAAAATAAGGGGTGGTTAGAAGAAATAGCACAGAAGGTGGATAAAATCTCAGATAGGATAAGTCCCGCAGCTGCAGTGGGCATAGTGGATATTTCACCTCCTGGAGACTTGTCCGAATATATCTATGATGGACATAATATGCCACTAAGACAATTCGTGTTGAGAACTCAAACCGTCTTAGAAGCATACCCTCACACAACTGATAGGGTAAAGTACCATTACCTACTAAAAGTCACAAAGGGACTACAACACAAGTATGTCCTGATGTATCAGTACGCAAAAAACCCCTTTCAGGATGTATGGAAGGCGTGGAAGAGCAGAATTGGAAAGGATGGGCTAACTATTAATGATACTATAGAGAAAGTAAAAATGGGTTTTGGTCAGAGTATAGAGGAAGGTATGATGGTGTCATTGGCCATCTTACAGAGATATTTAATGGTAGAACAATTGGAGAACAGAGCTACTTCAGAAGAGGTATCCTTCCTTTGTTCAGCTATTTTATCTCTGCTGCCTAAAGGGCTACGTCATAGGTTCCTCGAAAAGTTCAGTTTGGAAGTTAATGAGTCCATTCAATCAGCACCGCTTTGAGAGGAACTACTGAAGTTTATAAACTCAACATGCAAGAATGAAGAGGCAATGACGATGTACAAGAATGATGACGCTCATAAGAAATTCAAGCCAGCAGCAATAGCAACTCACAGGAAGAACAATTGTCCAGCTTGCAAATGCTAGCATGACATCAGAAACTGTGAGTTTTTTAGGGACTGTTCCTATGGCAGCAAAAAGGGGATCCTACGGGAGAACAAACTCTGCTTTAAATGCTTTGGTACAGGACATCTGATCACAACCTGCCAGTCTGGCATCAGATGCAATAAGTGCAAAGGGGATCATAACACCTTACTGCATACCTCAAAGGAGGACCTTACATCAGGGCCTGGGACAGGTTACAATATGCCCAGAGTCAAACCTAAATATAAGAAGGTGAATGGGGTAACTGCTACAAACTCTCCAACTATTTCACAATTGCCTCTGACAGTCTTTGAAGTAAAGAATGAGAGGATATCGGCATTAATGGATGCAGGCTCACAGATCTCAATGGTGTCAAGAGAGTGTGCCACAAGACTTAAGCTGGATAAAGTTGGAGAAGTAGGCTTGCAACTAAGGACACTCCTTGCAGAAAAAAGGTTCATGGCAGATGTAATAGTAATTCCTCTACCAAATGGACTGGGCCTGATAGAGGCAGTTGTTAGAGATAAACTCATAGAGGTCTATCAAGAACAAGAGAACATAGAGATAGAATGGGAAGGGAAGACTACCCTTATAAGAATCCCAGAAGTAATGGGAGATTTAGATTTGGTAATAGGAGTAGACAAGCCAGATCTACATCTGCAGCAAGGCAATATGTCCCTCAATAGCAGGAGAATAGTAAAGTATCCATTAGGTTGGGTCTGTATTGGTAGAAAAATGCAGGATCCATTTAGCCTACTTACTCAAGTCGAGCTGGGAGCCAATGTCTGCATCACTATGCAATCAGTTGAGCAACAGGAATCTCTAGTGGAGGATGATGAAATCAAAGCTAGAGATACCTATGAAGGAGAAAAGCTCAGCATAAACGATGTTAAAGCACTGGAGCAATTCAAAAATGAATTTGACATCCAAGAGCTAAAGGCTGCTGTTCCTTTCAAAAGGAATGTCAGAGATCTGAGGCTGAGCCGTTCACTAGCAGAGCGTAGGTTGTGGAGTCTCTTAGTGAGATTTAAGAGAGATCCGGTATATGAGAGAGAATATGACCAGTCTGTCTATGAATATATAGAACAAGGGTTTGCTACTGAAAAGCAGGCTCCATAGAGGTGGCCTGGTGTATAGCTCATCATGGGGTCTCCAGCCCTAAAAAGGATACCTTATCTAGGGGAAGGTAAAAAGATGACTCTGTTAACTGCCAAGGCTAGAATCAATGAAAAGAATGTCAATTCTATGCAAAAGGCAGAGCTACAAGCAGCAGTACTGGCAGTGAGGTTGTACAAAAAATTGAACTTGAAGGGAGTAGAAGTTACTTTTCATACAGACAATAATGCAGTATTTACACTGATACAAAATGCAGATGCTAAGTTGGACGCCTTCACTAGAAATAGGATAAGATATATCATAGACAATTCAAATCCTTCTTTATGGAGAAGGATTGAAGGCAAGGTAAATCCTGCTGATCTAGGGACCAGGAGAAGAAGACACTCAGACAATGAGTTGTTGCCACCAGTCATATCTGGAATGACCCAGTGTGTAGCACTAGGGGACATTTTTAGGCCATTCTCTTATGATTGGGAAAAGATGGTTAGGATAGCCCAAATTGTTGTGAAATGGGCTCACTCAAAAATACCAGTCTATCAACAGAAAAGGTTGGCAATAGCCTACTTGCTGAGAGATGAACAAAAGTATATCTCAATTGAGAAGTTTCCCCAATTAGAACCATTTAAAGACACCTATGGGGTGATCAGGATAAATGGTAGGCTAAGGAATGCATATGGATTACCATATGATGTGCGGCACCCCATCCTTGTTTAAAGCTATAGTATTTACATCTCACAATGAAGCAGCACATCAAGGTGTACAAAAGACAAGGGCGTGGATTAGGAAGCGGTTCTGGCTGCATAAAGGGACAGCACAGATAAAGGCCATTGTTGAAACATGCCCTTACTGTGTACGGTATAGGAGGGGCCGGACTTATAGTATACCACAAGCTCCTCTGCCAAAATCGTGTACTGAGAAACCACTGCGACCCTTTAGAAATGTAGGAGTAGATCACGCGGGACCATATTACGCTGATGAAGGTGAACAAAGATTTGTTCTACTCATAGCCTGCTACCAAATGAGGGCAGTACACCTGGAGATCTGTACATCAACATCCTTTGGACACACAAAGGGGGCATGGACTAGGTTTATGGCGAGGCCAGGCCACCCAGAAAATGCACACTCCGATGGTGCAGGAGCCTTTAGGAGATTGGCTGAGGAAATGGAAAGGGCAGGAATCTGCTGGAAACTGATACCAGCTAATTCTCCTCATAGAGGAGGGTTATGAGAATCTTTGGTGAAACCAGTCAAGGGTACCCTGCAAGTGCTAAACAAGGAGATACCAACAGAGGAAAGCCTAAGGACTGCAATCACTCTGACCGAAAGTATTGTCAATCAAAGACCATTGACAACTATCCTGGAGGATCACACAGAAACCCTCCTCACTCCAGCATCCTTCTTATGGATTCAATCTAAGGAAAGCAAAGGAATAAAAAACTCCTACAAACAGATGGAATCTGTCAGAGCTATGCTGGAGAGAAGATGGTTCCAGGAGTACATAGCCACTTTACAAACTACCTCAAAATGGAACAAAAAGAGTGGACGAACTCCGAGGGCTAATGACCTAGTAGTCCTAGTTAGTGACTCCTTAAAACGTCACAATTGGAAGATAGAACGTATACAGAAAACCAAGAAATCAGCTGATGGGCAGCCTAGGAACCTACAGATTCTCACTGAAAGGTCCTTAGTGTGGCGAGATCCGAGAAGGGTAGTCCCATTCTAAAGAAACACGAGGTTCTTTAGGGGGGGGAGTGTTTGAGAACCTGATCGCGATCAGTAGGTGTTGTTGTGGTGGTCGGACATATATATATATATATATATATATATACATAAGTATCAAGTCTCATGTGTCATACTACGAGACGTAATCTCGTAGTTACGTAATCACGTGTATCCACACGTGATAATTATTAGCTTTGGTTATTAGAATACAGCAACCGTTTGATACGGTTACCGACAGTAAATATACATAGTTCGTAATCGTAGAAGAACCGATCTTCAACAGTTGCCATTCTTTTTAAAGAATTAGACATTTAAACTGTCTCTGTTCGAAGACAAATGAATAAATGAAGGATTGTCAATAATGCGAATAATTAAGTATCTTGGGTTTTCCAACTTTCGTTTTTGGCTAATTTTTTATCAATATTTGCAGTGAAGCTGTGGATGAAACAGCCAGTTTTGTTACGAGGTCTACATGATGGAATGGGGCATAGGCTCAAGCAATGTATCGAAAAAGATGGTAGTCACATCAAAAAAAAAGACTAATATGAACATTATTTCTCTTGTTCTAATTATTATGAAGCGTCCTTAGCAACCCTGGCCAAATAGGAAAAAGAATCAATGAAACATGTACAACAGTTGAGTAAATATCATTGACATTTGACCTTCCGGTGGCCAAGATGTTGTTACCAATGCTACTTTCAATCTATAAAGTGAGTTAAAGCAATAAAGAATCGAAACGAATTTTTCAACGTAATCCTTTGTTTCATACAGAAATTCAACAAATTCAAGATTCTTTGCTAAACTCTATGAGTTATATTCGAAATTTGAATATTCATCAAATCGGAAAATTAATGAATTATTTGCGAATATAAGTGAATATTTTAATGATAAATTATCCTTCGTAAGTATCATTAGATAGAGTAAAGATTTCTTCCTCTTTATCATAATTATCTTCAATGCAGTTGTCCTATTCTGGAAAATCGACTATAGACACATTTCTAGATAATATAAGGAATATTAAAAATGGCGAACAAGCCAACTACTTTACTATTATCTTTAGGGATCATTACTTTAATGATATATTACCAATTCTTAAGTAAGTTGTCTTCAGGGAAAGAAATGAATTTCTCTATCATTTTTTCCATTTTGTTTATACAGGAATGAAAAGAATAAATTAAGACAATTTCTAACCGCAATAATTGAAAATCCTTTCAAGGATATCTGCAAAGAATTCTTTGAAGATTGCGTAGAACGTTCGCAAATGGTTAATATTCAAGGGGACGCTGATCTATTCTTGATGTCATTTAATTTAATGTACATGTACCAATGGGGTAATAGCAGGGAAGCCAAAGAAGCATTTGGAGCAATTGGTACAGGATATTGTCAATTAATTAAGTTGGTTTAATATCAACAAACAACAATAATGAATTATTAGTAATTAATTAATTAATTAATTAATTTTTAATTAGAAATAATATCGAAATCCCAAAAATAAAGACCTATTTAAACGGCATTGTGGAAAAGGCTTTTGATTTTAATAGCGTCGCTTATCAAGAGGCTTGTTCTCAATTTTTATACGAATTAGATTGGAAGGTAAAACTAAGATAATATGTTTTTGTCATCTAATATACATTTATCTATTATAGGATGACTTTAGAACCTTTCATAATATACTGAAAAAACTTCGAAGGAACGTTGAACGAAACGCGAATCTTTTCTATAGTCAAGATTCAATTGTTTGGATGACTCAACTTCTCATTGAAAAGATGGATGCTTGTAATAGGTAACGTTTTAAGTTATTTTAATTAACCATACCTTTCTATTACCATTTCTCTTCGTAGTAAAAGTGAAAGGTTTAAGGAATTGACGGATAGTTACGGTAATTTATTCAACGCTTGTTACGGTAATAATGTTACCAATAAATAGCATCCTTCGATTTCCTACATTTTGTATGTACAAGAGTAGAATTTATACGCAATACAATTGTTATTACGTAATAATACTAACGATATTTCATAAAAGAATCTTCTAGCTATAGAATCGTACGTATCACACCATAATTGAACATTTCGATCGCTTTCCAAAGGTTTAATGTCCTCCTGACAAAGAACTTTTAAAAGCTTTTTTATCTCATTTTCTTTAATTTCTTTCTGATAAGAAGAGACGTTTAATTGTTATTAATTTAAATTATTAATTAAAAACTATATTTATTGATTACTTGTAGATAATCGCCAAAGTTTTGTAATTCGAAAAAGTTCATTAGAAAAGGAATATTACCGCATGATACGCAATTCTCTTCGTAAACGGCTAGGATTATTATCATTAATTTCTTACAAATTGGCTTCCATTTACTAACATTATCGGACATTTTACTGTAAGATAATTGAAAACAATTCTTTTTATTACATAATGTAATTGAATAATGGTAGAGAGATGAGGGAAGAGCGGGAGGGAAGGGGAAAGAGAGCTGTTGTTCTCTCTTATTCTTTCTACTTACTTATCATAAATAAATTTAAAGCGATCAAAAATTATTTGTAATCCTCTAGCTCCAGGTGAATTTTCGCTGTATCCATTTTTACTACAAATCTTCAACTGCAATAGATTTAAAAATTCTGTTACAGTTTGTACTGTATATTTTCTTTGCGGTATATTTGAGAAATCTTCTGATAAATTGTTCAGATTATCAGCAGTTAATTTACTTAAAGGACAATATTTCTGAACTATTTTAGTTTCTTCTGTCATGTTGATCTCAAAATTATATAACTGTAAAAATGGGAAAAACTGCAAATTACGCCACACTATATAGAGAAAATTTGCTGATTGTGTAGTCACGTTTGAACTGAATATGCTTTTTTTATAACCTTCACCTTTGAGGATATTGATTAAACGGTCACTTATTGAACACAGTTGTCATAGGTGATAGGGACAGAAACTATTAAGTCTAAGGTTTCAGCCAAAAGAGAACGATTTCTAAATTCAATAATTACCAGTTTCTTCTAGTAGAAATATATTATATTTTGTTAAAAGGAACATGCTCTGACAGGTGATAATCAGCTATTTAGATAAATCAACATTTTACACTATTGCGATATTACTCTCTTCAACAGGCTAAATCGTTCACGCATTCATTCTCAAAGAATTACTAATGATGACAAAAATGTTAACGGTTCTCTACACTGTAGGCCCACGGGATCAACAGAAAACGGCCCCAACAGAAAACGGCCACAAATCAACAGAAAACGGCCACAAATGAACAGAAAACGGCCCCAACCGGAACAGAAAACGGCCCCAATCAGAACAGAAAACGGCCACAAAATTTCGAAATATACAATACTCATAAATTGAATAGAATAAGTTAATTTAAAATTTTTTTCTATTAGTTAGTAAATATTGGATGAAAAAATATTAAATTGTCCACCAGTTTTTCCTAAGAGGTTGAATATTTTGCACTATTTTTAAATTCCTGCCAATAGGTTAAAGCAGCTCAAAGGAGATTTTTGCCACAATGCTACCATATTGTTTTGGATGTAAGAAAAAGATTAATAAGCTGAAGCAAGGTGTTTGTTCACTTTGTCATCATAAAGTCCATTGGGCTTGTTTATCAGGTAAGATCCAAATTGATTTTAATGTAAACTAAGCTCTTTCTTTTGTAGATGGATTATGTTCTATATGTTCAAGTGTTGATAAAAAAAGAATCAGAATTATTCTGAGCAAATGTGATGAAATTTTACAAGATAAATCTACCAATAAAGTCTCAAATGCTGAAAATATAGATCTAAATCATTCAAGAGAAGAGATAGATGTGCAAAATATAATAATGGATGTTGATCATGAAGAAGTGGTTACCCTTATTGAAACACTGAATTGTGATGCAGAGTACAGGCTTGTTGATAATCTTAGTGAAAGCAGCCCTCTGCATGGAAATATATTACATTTGAATGAGAATGATATCAATATGGAGGAGTCCTTTGAAAGTATACCAGAGGTGAACTATGACAGCAATGGTAAATTCAGAATATTCCCTACAGGAAGTCAAAAAGGCAAAGAATTACTTGTATCTAATGGTCACTCATTTGTTGTCAAAAGAAAAGACAAGACTTCCATAATTTGGAGATGTGGAGTTTTAATGCATTTAATATTCATTTCACTGTTTTTCAGTGCATTAATCAACTGCTACAATATAAGGAACCAAAAAGATAGTTATGGATTTTGAAAAAGCTGTTTGGAAAGCTGTATTAAATAATTGGGAAAATGTAAATCTGTCAGGATGCTTATTCCATTGGAATCAGGCAGTTTATAGAAAATTCAGGTATTATTCAACCTAAAACTCAAACTGGAGTCATTTTTAATTTTGTTTTTTTAGGAGCTTGGTTATTCATCAGACTTCAACAAAAAAAATGGACAATGGTTTGAAATGAGACAGCTAATGGCTTTGCCATTCCTTCCATCTCACATTATTCCAATAGAGTTTATTAAAAATAAGGATTACCTTAAATCAATTGATAAACTTGCTGATTTTATTGATTATTTTGAAAGAACTTGGATTTTGAATGATGTTTGGTCACCAAAATGTTGGTCTATCTATCAATGTGCAATCAGAACAAATAATGATGTTGAGGGATTTCACAATAGGTTGAATGGAAATGTTGGAGTGAATGTTTCATTTTATTCTGTGATAGATGAATTGAAAAGGGAAGCAGACCTTATAGCAGCATATCAAAGAATGTTATCAGAAAAGAGATATTAAGATACCAAAGAAAGTTTTATAAGAACCTCCAAAATAAATATTTTCAATTTGGGAAAGATTTGAAAAGCATGAGATTACTTCATCAGAAGTTCTAGTAAAGTGTTCTGAACTTTATTTAGTAGCTCAATAAATAAATCAATTGTTGTTAATTGCATGATCTTTTAAGTTGTAGTCTCATAATGTATTCAACTCTTCAAATAACACACTTTCAAAATTTAATTCATTTCTTGTTTTATATATTTTAGGTTGAAGAATCCTGTGGCTGTTTTCTGTCTCAGTTGGGGCGTTTTCTGTTGATTTGTGGCCGTTTTCTGTCGTATTCGGCCCACTTTTGCAGTAGAGGACCATAATTTGTCAATAGCAGTCCTGACAATCTGAAATGAATGTTGAACATAAAAAGTGAACAAAGAATTCTAATTGGTCGGTTAACTACTTACTCCTGAGCGGAAAAAATAGTGAAAACTATAATTGAAGTCGTATCTTTTATAACGATAAATAATTTCGGATCTCGCTTCAATTCTATTATATGTACTTGCAAACATAGCAATAAGCAAATTAACCAACACAATAATAGCTCCAAATAGATAAATTGCCATCAGTATTACTGCTACTGCTGAATTTTGTGGACAACGATCGCTGCTACCATTTATAGATGTTGAATTACACGATTCTTCATCATTTCCCGTAATTTCTTCAAGAAATAATTCTCCGTATATTTGCCAATATGGCACGTATACAATATTTTTGAAAAGGGTAAGTCCAAGTGGAAAATTGGGATATAAAAGTCCTTGTAGGGCAACTCCATAGGCCAATATAAATATTAAGAATATTGGAATCATTACTCCTGTATCTTTAATCATTTCAAAAATCATAATTAGCCTTATTCCAAATGTTTGCCAATTGTATAAGAATAGTGCAGTTCTCAAATAAAACAACGAAATTGAAATGGCGTAAAAGCTTCTTACAACTGCAAAGTTCTTGTTTGGTATTACAAAAATAAGTATTACTGATAGTAAACAGAAAATGAATATAAGCAATTCAAGAATATTCCAAATATCTCTGTCAAATGTTTCCAATATTGTAGAAGACTCAGCTCTTTTATCTATTTTATATGGGGGAGGTAGAGGGGAGGGAGGGGAAGACAGAAATTGTCATTACAGTGAATTATGGGAATGAATTTGTTACCTGACTTATTTCCATCAGTACAATAAGACTAAGGAAAAGTAAAAAGCCACTTCGCTAACATGTAAAATTTATCAGTTTTTGGTTGAAGATCAATTAAATAATAGAAGGAGAATGTGAATAAACATAGAAGATGGAGTATCTGTTGATTGAATGGTAAAATTAGAAAATTAGAAGTTAATTAAATATCATACTTACGAAGCTATCCAAAATTTTCTCTTGGTGAAAAATTGGTTCCTTGCCCAAGTTTCCTCGCCATAATTCATTCAAATACCATTGGCCAAATGCACTGGCAATATATTCTTTAAATCTACAGCTCTAGCCCAGTCTATGGAATTTGGTCTCTGCTTCGCTTCTTCCTTTACTTTTTTGTCAATATTGTTTTATCATTTTCACAAGCATCATTTAAATATCTAAGGGCTTTGTCTTTCCAAACTTGTTTCCTCTCTAACAAGGATGTAGCTAAAAAAGTATCATATTCCTTGATTGCCTCTTTCCTAGCCTGTTTTAAAATTCCAAAAGCAAATATAGCCAATCTTAAAGGATTGTTACTCTTCAGCCAAAAGTATTCCGAGACTTTTGTCTTGTTGGCAATAATTGACCAAGCAAATATGAATGTTATGTCATCACCATCTAACAATTTATTTTCCAGTGAGCTATAAACTGAACAATTCTTATCAAAATGTTCATTAAATAAATTCAGTACAGCATTCTTAAACTCTTTTTTGAAATTATTAAGCTTTTCTTTATGATTTTGAGCATCTTCATTTTCATTAAAGGCTTCATTATTCAAAATGCTTAAGAGTTTTTCAGCCCTTCACACGATTGTTTCTTATTAAACTCTTCAAGACGCACATTGTAGTCTTTAATCGATTTCCCTTCACCATTTAACTTTTCTAAGACAACAATTGGCTTTTTCTCTAAATTCTGAATGAATTTAAAACCTTTAACGTTGTTAAGTGAAAGTGGAAAAAGTTCATCAGGGTAGAAAGTCTTTGTTACATCTGGAAAATACTATGAACTATTTCAACGACACGTTTATTGTCACTTTTTAAGGAATCTGTAAAGAATTCTTGGTAATTTTGAAATTTTTCTTTTTCAATGTAAGGATCAAAATCTTCCTTAAACTGTTTATGAGTAATTCCCCGCGGATTGCCAATTCAAATTGATCATCATCATTTAATTTGTTGAAATAGGCATCTTCAATAGCAGTTTTTAAATCTTCTTTATATAAATTAACTATATGAATTTGATCTTTGTATTTAGAAATTGTTTTACACAATTCAAAACATTCATCTACTTTTTTTGTCATTGTAAGATTTTTTATCTTCTTTTTCCATAAATCGGAAATTTCACTTTCTGCCTTTTCAGATTTAATTATAGAAATAAATCTATAAAGAAATAATGATGTTTTTCCACATTTTCTAATGATAAATACATTAGGTTTTTTATCAATTCTATGATTTTTCACTGTTAGTATGTTGCATATTTCTTGTAGAGTTTTGTATATTTCACCGCCAATTACTATTAATATTGAAATTAAATAGAAATCAGGAATTTTATCTTCCGCTTGTATAATTTGTTTCTGCAATATCGCTTTAGGGAGAAATGATTTTTTAAGTGATTTAATATACTCTTTATGATTAGGGCACTCCTCCTTTGAGCTATGTTCAAGACATGACGGTTCTGTACTATATAATTTAATTTTCTTTTCTTGTGTCGCCTTTTTACAGGGTCCTAATAATTTTGAACATCCATCAATTAATATCAATGGTTTGAATACTTTTACAACTACATTAAATTTCTTTTCAAAGATTCTCATAAACTGATTATCAAAGTTATCGTGCTCGTCATTATTGTTAAATGTTATAAATAAATGTTTGCCTTTCAGTATATCTTTCCTTTCTTTCAAAGTATTTTTTACAGTTGCGTTGTCTTGTTCATCAATAAAGTAGGATGGATAATTTTCTTCATAAATCTCTTGAAGACAGTCTTTTAAACCATTTTCCTCTTTTTTGAATGTTTTCAAATATTTCTTGCACTCTTCATTCATCTTCTCATCTTTAATTTCAGTTGGAGAAATAATATATTTTTTAGACTTTAACCTTTGAATAACCTCATCATTACTATTGCCTTCAAAATTAATTAAGACATCAATAACCTTTTCATGTTGTGTCTGAACATGTTTAATGAATGCTTCTTTAGTTTCCATTTCATCCTCACCTTCTCCAAGAAAATAGAAATATTGATGATTTAGGTCCAAACCGGCACCCTTTAATGTCTCTTGACTTACACTATCTTTATTTTTGATTGTATTATGTTCACCCTTTACAAATCCACACCATATAGATTTGTGTCATGCTTTTGTAGCTTTTGTCAATAATCTATTTGTTTTCCATCAGTTAAAAATAATGATGCATTTTCTGTTAGATGATGCTTAATTTGTTGAATATTATCATCAGATAGAGTTGAATATGGTAGTTGTATTATAAAGTTTGGTTTCATGTTGAAATTAGGAAAGTTTTTAACCATACAATTTACTCCAATATCAGATAAATATGATTTTCTTACAAATATTTTCTTTTATTAATTATATTGAATATAATTATCTTGAGAAAGTCGTCTCTCTTTTCATCGGCTATTCTTAACCATTCAGTATTTTTGTCACCTTTTTAGCTAAACGATGTTTATTTTTTATTGTTCAACCATATTACATCTTGTCTCTTAGCTAAACAGTTTTGTATTTTTACTAAATTATCATCATTT